CTCTCTCTCTCTCTCTCTCTCTCTCTCTCTCTCTCTCTCTCTCTCTCTCTCTCTCTCCCCCCCCCTCCCGACTTCTTCCACCGCTTCCCAACATCCCACCTTCGGCCTTTCTCCTGCCTTCCGCCATCCACCATCGCTGCTACTCTCTCTGTTGCATACTCGTGAAACACAGTCATAAGTATGGCGCAGATTCCCAGAACCGATCAGATAATACAGAGTACATACAAATACAGCGGAAGACTTGAGATACATGGATTGACTCAGACCTCTCTCTCTCTCCCCCCCCCTCCCGACTTCTTCCGACTGCAACGAAACGCTCACAAACATACATCGGTGGTGTGAAGCCCTGGCCTTGGACTTAGAAGAAAAGGCCAGGGTCAACTCTCATACACGGATGAATGCAGGGGAGGAGAGACGAAGCGAGGAGGAGAGGGAAGACGACGTCAACTCAATGTTTCCAAAGATAGTATCTCGAAATGTCAGAAATAGCGAAAATCCGATATGTCGCGAACACAGAGTCTCACAATGTCTCAGATATCGGCCTCACAATGTCAAGATACATCCTCAGAGGTAGATGAAGTCAGATCCCAAAAGAAGTCCTCAACCTGCAGTCTCAATGTCGCTACCTGTACTATCATCAGAACTCGTAACCATCCTTCATAGTCGTAGTAGTCCAGTAGTGTGATCCAAGAAGTACTCTCAGACTTAGAGGAGAGAGAGAGAGAGAGAGCGGAGGAGGAAGAAGAGGGAGGAAAGGCGAAGCCTTTCTCCCTGGTACCTATCTATGCAGCTATGGCGCTGCAGGGCTGGGCGCTGGGCCACGGGCTGGGCCAGAGGCTGGCGCTATTCCACTGCTGAGCTAAGGCGCTGCTGCGCTGTTCCTCCTTGCTGCTGCGCTAATCCCTTCTCGCCGCTCATCTTCCTGCTGAAACGCTGCGCAAATCCTGAAGACTAACTCGTAGACTAACTGTAGACTAACCTACCCTACTGAGGCTGGTACCTGGCTAATATAGTGCCGGGCCAGCCTCAAGGCTGCTCAAACCTTGGGTCTGGACCGTTGATCTGATCAACGGTTCAGATCCTGTTGCCGAATCTGAAAGTGGCGGCCTAACTTGGCCGCTGTTGGAACTGCGCCGCCGGTAGGTCCTACTGCTGGACCGGTACCGGCCTGAACCAATGTGACCGTTGGGCCTGTCTTAGACCCCTACACCTCGGCCTACTGGGTTCTAACTGAACCGGCGTACTCCTAGGTCTGCCTGGGCCTGATCTGAACCGTCGTACCCCTAGGCGTACCCTGACCTAGATGGAACCGGGCCCTAATGCCACACACTCCCCCCCTTGAAGACCGAGCTAACTGCGAGGGCAAAGCTGTCTGTCCGATGTCCGTACGGGGCGGGCGGGTTGGGCAGCTTCCTTAGCCAGTCGTTGGGGTCGCATTGCTTGAATGTGACTTTGTACTGCATCGGCTTATTGCCGTGCTTGCAATGAGAGAGGACACGGTCGACCTCCTGGTGACCATCCATTGAAGGTGGGTCATGTGACCGTCTGCCTGGGAATTCCGTTTGTGAGGCTGGAGTGTAGACTGCCAGCTTCGAAGCGTGAAATACAGGGTGGACCGTCAGATGCAGGGGAATCTCGATTATGAAAGAGGGACCCGCGGGGTCGTCGCCAGCTGCTGAAGTGACTTTCCATGGTCCAAACCACTTAGGGAGGAGCTTGCGCGAGACGTGCTGCTCGAGTTCGAATTCCTCGGAGGTGACCCAAACAAGGTCGCCAGCGTGGATTGGACATGGGATGTGATGCCTGTTCGCTTGCTGCTGCATACGGACCTGAGTCTTTTGCATATTTGTGCGGGTTTTGGCCAGCAGATCCCGGTACTTCCGTGTAGAAGCGGGGAAGCAAGTGGCGTCGATATCGGCAGCCCGTGGAAGCAAAATGTCTGTGAAGATACGGCCTTTCCATCCACCGTGATGCAACTCGAATGGAGTCACGCCGATCGCCGGGTGCACTGAAGTGTTGTAGGCGAACTCGATGTCGGGAAGGCGGTCAACCCAGTCCTTCTGATCCGGGCGGATGAGTGTGCGGAGCATCATCTGCACAGTCTGGTGCGCACGTTCCGTTTGCCCATTTGTTTGAGGATGCCGTGCGGAACTCGGTTTCATGCTGGTGTCGGATTCCATCATGAGTGTCGTCCAAAAGGCTGACATGAAACGAGTGTCTCGGTCACTGACGATGTCTTCCAGAACGTCGTGGCTGCAAAACCAGCCGGTGTGCAAGAGTCGTGCGAGCTCGGGAGCCGTCGCATGATACTTGCATGGAAGAAATCGAGCGTACTTGCTCAAACGGTCGATGACCGTGAGAATACCATTATGGCCAAGGCGAGTGCGAGGGAAAGGACCGATCACATCCATAGCAATGGAGAGACCTGGTTCCCGAGGAATCGGCAATGGTTTCAGTTCGCCGTACGGGAGCTGATGGCGCCCTTTGTTCAGGTGGCAAAGTGCACATGACTGAATGTACCGGTTGACGTCGCTGATTATGCCCGGCCAGGGAAATCGCTAGCGGAGTCGTGCAAGTGTGCGTGCGACGCCAAGGTGTCCCGCCAGCCGCGAATCGTGGTATTCGCCAAGGAGGTGAGTGCGCAAGATGCGGTCTTGGGGAACACACAACAAGTMCTTGCCTCGTGTATGGAGAAGCAAGTAGCCGTCGACAATGTGATAATTGCTTGCGGGCGGGTGATCCGATGATGAGTCCGCGTAGAGTGTGGAGAATCCCGGATCCTACTTGTAGCTGTTTACGAAATGTTGTTGCAGGTCGTCGTCGAGGCCGAATGTGGAGTGCACCAAGGCGCAAAGATCGGGTCTTCGCGAGACAGCATCCACTGCCTTGTTCGAGGAGCCCGGTATACGCTTGGAGGTGAAGTCGAACTGGTCAATGAAGTACATCCACCGACCGTTCGTGCTGCTCACCGTGTCTTGCGTCTTGTAATAAGTCAACGGATTGTTGTCCGTTGCCCACGTGAATCGCCAACGCCCGAGGAGAAAGTAACACCAACGCTTAAGTACGGTGACAAAAGCTAGCAATTCCTTCTTCCTCGCATCATCAAGTGTATTGAAGGGTGGAACCTTTTGGCTGAGGTACTCAACCAGATGCCAGTTTGTGCCATCATGCTCTTCCAAAACCGCGCCAATATTGTAGCCGGAAGCGTCCGTAATCGCTTTGGTAGGCAAGGTCGGGTCATAGATGCTTAAGACGGGAGCTTGGAGCAAGGCCGTCTTCAGCGTATGGAACGCGTGCCGGGCTTCGTCGTTGAACTCGAAGGGCACCAAGGGGGACTGAAGTCGTGACAATGGTGCAGCGATTCGTTGAAAACCTTTGACGAAGCGCATATAATACGATGCTAAGCCAAGAAAGGAGCGGACATCGGTAGTACACTTGAGGTCCGACCAATCTTGAATGGCTTGTACTTTGTCTGTGAGCGCACGAATGCCTTGCGAGGTAACGTAATGGCCCAAATACTCCAGCTCTTGCTGGGCAAACTCGCACTTGTCGTCGTTTGCCTTGTACTTGGCGATACGCAGCCGCTCCAAAACGGCGCGAAGGTGCTCGTCCAGCGACCGGCTATAAACCAAGATATCATCAAGGTAAATGAGTATGGTGCGGTCGAGCAGGTCGCGGAATTCCGTCATCATAGCCGCTTGGAAAGTAGTCGGGCATTGGTGAGACCGAAAGGCATGACGATCCACTCAAAGTGCCCATATCGCATCGGATTTGAGATCAAGCTTCGAGAAGTACTTGGCGCCGCCTAGTCGCTCGAGAAGCTCATCGATCCGAGGGTGAGGGCCGACGTTCTTGATCGTTTGCGCGTTAAGTTTTCGATAGTCGAAACACAAACAAAGGTCCTTGTTCTTCTTCCGGACGAAGAGAACGGGATCACCGTATGGCGAACAGCTAGGGCGAATCCAGCCCTTGGACAAGAGGTCGTCTAGTTGTGCTTGAAGCACTTGAAGCTCCTCTTTGCTCATTCGGTAAATGCATCCGTGCGGATGTACACCGTCGTTCTCGAGAGTGATCCCGTGGCGTATGGGCCGATCCGGTCCTACTCCGGCGGGAG